ACAAAGAACAAGAGCAAGAAAGAAGAGGACATTCAATTAGTTCTATTATTTGCTTATATGAGATTACCTTCAAGCAAGACAACCAAAAGAAATTTCTCCTTCTAAGGTAATCTATCTTATTATTATTATTATTATTATTATTATTATTTTATCTATCTGATTACAACCCTTAGGAACAACCATGAAAGCTAGACACACAATTCCTTCATGGACAAATGACATTTTATACCCCCAAAATATTTGCATTTTCAATTTATACTCAGAAAGATTAAAATTTTTATATTGCACCCTTAATCAAATAAAAAGATAAAAATGTATTTTATTTTGAGAAAATTGAGTTTAAGTTTTCCATTAAAAACTCTTAAAATTGAGTATCATATAAACAATTGTGTATAGAAACAAGATAATATGACTAATACAACAAACAAAGATTCCTCAGAAACGACAACAAAAATTAGGTTTTGCACTATACTGCTACCTTTTTATTTGATTGAGGGTGTCATAAAAAGAATTTTAGTATTTCATTGTGTAAATTGAGAATTTAAAAATCTTTTAAGGTGCAAGTGTCATTCACCCTTTTATCTATATAACATTTAAAGTGTGAGCATAAATGTAACTGCATGTGTAGCTTGGTCCACTTGTGCATTTAATTCACCGTTCTTTCTGATTTCAATTATTTTTCTAGTTTTGAGAACAGTTCACATATTTAGTAAGTTTGTTACTTGTCTTCATCATTTGATTGTTGATTTCTTTATTATCTAGATAAGCTTTCAAATCTATAAATTTGTATAATTGACAAAAAAAAAAATAATTGTATAAGGGTCTTAGATAAGCTAGAATGCGTGTGAGCTTAAATGTAGCCAGGGGTGACATGGACATTTTTCACAATTAGCTATCTCCCAATTAACATTAATTCAAATTTACCTAAATTGATTTTTTCTTCGTTCTACTCTACAATAATTATCACCTGTTTGTTGAATAGGGATTTTTTTTTTTTTTTGTTCAACAGTTAGGGGTGTTCAGACTAACTTACACGCACCTCAATTAATCATCTCCATTGTCCGGTCAAAAATAAACCATCCATACCAGAATTAGTGTATTTATAAGGAATAAAGTTCTCATGGCTAACCCCAAGAGATTGTTGACTAGGGATTCACTTCTATGTAATGGACTCCATTTCAATTCATGACAAAGAAGCCATCATTAAAAAGACTAAGAAAAATATATTAAAAGAGATCTAATATTAGATATTGAAAGAGGTATATCCATTTCCAACACATTTATCCTTAGTGGGGAAGTCATGTTTTAGCTTGGGAAAAGCATGGCTTCCTCTCATGTTTCTTACTCATTTGTATCCCTTCATTTTTCATGTAATTTTAAACAATTTTTTGTACCTATTCCTTAGAGTAAATAGTAAAAAAGTCAAAGATTAGATTTGCACTCAATCTACCCCTCCTAAACCTACTAGGTGTTACAAAAGAATAGTCCACATCTATGGGAGTATTCATTTGTCATCTAAGGTTCCTCTGCCCATATTTTTTTTTTTTTTATGTAATTTGAGAGAGTACTTGTTTATTGAATTAACAATGAGTTTCAAATATTAGATGAGATTCACGATCAGTCTACTAGAAACATGGATTTTATCAGACTCCCTGTTTCTATGTCTAATTGACTTTTCATTATTGTTGTTCTATCTTGATTAAAAGCAACATTTACAATGGAGCCCTATTTGAGCTAAAGTTTAATGATACTATGCAATTGATGTTGCCAAAAAATAGGGTTATCATATTTTATGTAATAAAAAAAAATTATTGCGAATCCGCTTCCTCCTTTACTCGTATCATATAGATTAATTATATTTGAATTTGTAATTGGTACATCAGCATTGTATATTTAAAAAAAAAAGAAGGAAATATAACTTGTCAAACTATATCACCATTATTGTCATTGAATGAACAAGTAACAAATTTTGTTTATTAAGTCTTTCACATAGCAACAGATACATGAATTTTCCATGGCAAGAACGCGTGATGAGGAAGTATGTTGTCACACACAAGCAGCCAGCAATTAATTCGGTTAAGAGATTTCCAATCAAATTTGCACTTGCTATTATGTCTATGTTTTTTTTTTTGCCCCTTTGTGTTATCGAGAATCGCGCGAACACGTTAACTCTAAAGTCATGACCATAACACGTTAGCTCTAACCCATGACTCTAAATTAGTAATTATAATGTAAACTTTGAAGATTATTGTCAAAAACGAAAAAAAATGAGTCCAATAAAATAGAACTTAAACTATTTCAACACAATCATATCCGTTAGATTTTACTAGTAAAAAATAATGGATTTTCAAGAGAAAAGGGGTCATTCATCCTAAGGTATAATTTTTTGGAAAAATAATAGATAAACTATTCCTATTATTAAATGGAGTACTTCAAACCCTTAGAAATAGTTCAGTGGTTAAGCTTGATCTTTGGAAACTCAGCAGTCTTAAGTTTAATCTCTTTTTACATCTCCTAAGAAGCTTTTTAGTAAGGGGATATGAGGGGCTTGATAAGATGAGTTAGGAGAAAATAGTCCAAAGGACTCTCAAACCTCATGTTTGGATTGAAAATCCAATCTTGAGTTTCCAAACCTGGCCCATAGTTGGTCTGAATATTAAACTCATGATCATAAATTTCGTCAAACCTAGGGAGAGGTGGGTTTGGGAAGATGGGTTAAGGGGTTAAGGATACAAAAGATAATTGTACTTTTTAACATTGGTATAAATTGGATTGATCAAAGATAAAATAGTCATTTATAGGATAAATAGTAGTTAATAATTACGATATATCCATGGGTCCTATATGTATATGTGTTACATACCAAACATTAGTATGAACCAGATTTAATGTTGAATCTCATCTTTGTAAAAATGATTTTGGATTTGGGGCAATCAATTCAAACCCTTCTAAAAAATTCATCCAAACAAGGCCTAAGGGCTAAGCCACTCATGTCCCTTAGGGAAATGTGCTAACCCAATTTAAGCTACAGTTGTCGGTTGTTGAGTTCGAGAAAATAGTAGGCGCAAGCCCACTACCAAAAAAAAAAAATGGAGCATTTGAAAAACTTTTTTCCCCTATACTTAGTTGTTAGACCCGACCTTTCTAACTAATCTTAGTAATAAAGATAGGATAAAATAAGAAAAAAAAAATTCATGGGTCAAGCAACGAGGGATCTATTTTTTATGAATACTCTATTTTCAGCGTGGATGACCTGTATTTGACCGGACCGGAGAGGAGATTAGTCAAAACACGCATAAACTGATCTGAACACTCTTGACTGTCGAACCAAAAAAACAAACAAAGAAGAGAGAACGCCTTATTGATGAAAGACTTGAGAAGTGCTACATAGTATTTAAAATAAGTCCGCAGATTGGAACAATCTTCCCATCTTTTGAACTTTCTAGACAAAATGATACATAGTTTTTTTCTACAGAGGAGAACTATAGCACCAAAAGTTAATTTCTAATTGTATACATTATCTTAATTTATTTATAGATTAATCATTTACATAGTAAAAATCTGACTATTGAAATTTAGTCTTTCTTAATTTGAAATCCATATGGCATGAGTTTAAATAACAAATGGAACCCGAAATTGAATTAAAATTTTTAGTCTTTTTTGATTTGACCTTCATTTGATATGAGTTTAAATAAATGACTAAAATTTATTTTTAACTTATTTTTACTCTTTTTTTTTTTGCTAAATTTGGGGCAATCCAAACCAAAACGATAAAAGACAAAACAATATAAATATTCATTATAACGTGAAATTTTCTATCAATTTTTTCTAAGAAGAGAAGATATGTTTAGTTATATATCCAAACAAAATATAAAAATTCCTAATAGATTAGATGAAATCTCAAAGAATCCCATGATTCAATGTATTATTCATTAAATATCATGTGAGATAGAATTGAGAAATTGCCATCGACTATAATCCAAAAAAACAAGATTATATAAACAACATAAAAGAAGAATGAATGAAATATCTTATGGAGAGAGGAAATCGTATTTATTTGGATAAATATGCTCTTCCGGCACTTGATTCCACTTGGATCACATGTTGGCAAATAGAAGCCTCTTAATGCAAAAATAACAAATAGCTTACCAAAAAGTCTAGGGGGATTCGATAATAAGACAGAGTAAATAGTACTAAGATTTATCACTTATTACACTTTAGTTTTTAAAGTTTCAATTTCGTTAATTTTGTTCCCCAAAGTTCAAATATTAAGTTAATGCGATCATTGACACTAACTAGAGTTAAAAAAGGGATGAAAACTATCTTGTGCATGTCACGTGTATCTCTTTGAGGATATTCTTGATATTTTGCAATAATTTAGGCATTCAAACACCTTTATTCTTTATCCGTATACATTAAACATGAATCCATTAACCATTTTCATATTCTTTTCTATTTTTTTCCTTCTCTCTCACAGCCCCTCCCCACATCCTTCTCTTTGTCTCACTCTTTCTCCAATTTTGTCCTCAGTCTGCATATCCCTAACTATGCCTCTTTTCTCTCCCCTAATTTGTCTCTGCTCGCCCCTTTCCTTCAAACCCGCAAGTCATTCTCTTTGCATCTCTCTCTAATTCATTTATCTCTAATTCTTGGTTTCAATTAAAATACCAAGAATGTCCTTAAAGAGAAGCATGTGACACACACATGGTGGTTTTTGTCTCTTTTTTTAACAGGAGTTAGTGCCAATGATCACATTGACTTAATGTTTGAACTTTGGGGATGAATTTAATGAAATTGAAACTTTAAGGACTAGACTGAGATGAATGATAAATTTCAGGGAGGATTGATATAATTTACCCTAAAAAAACCACCGAACTTAAATCCATAACTGTCTTCACATTTAAGCAGGGAAGTTAGACTTGTTTCTATTCCTATGAGAAATTTGAACAGGCAACCAAATCTATGACTATATATATAAACGATTCAGATAGCTGAATGATATGATTTTGAGGAGACTTACCAACTGGGCTTCTCTAGCCTTTCTAGGTATTGCTTTGCTGTTATTCTACAGATACCCATCTCCTTCTTCTCCTCAACAAATGGCTGAAGAAACCCCCAAAACCATCTATGACTTCATAGTCAAGGTATTATCTTATTTTGCTTTAATTTACTGCCATTACCCTTGTGTTTTGTGCTGAATTTTGTCTCTATCTTTTGTTCTTGAGTTCATCCATAGGTATTGATTTGGGTATTTCAAATTCTTCACTGNATTATCTTATTTTGCTTTAATTTACTGCCATTACCCTTGTGTTTTGTGCTGAATTTTGTCTCTATCTTTTGTTCTTGAGTTCATCCATAGGTATTGATTTGGGTATTTCAAATTCTTCACTGTGTTTTTCCAGTTTGTGTAAATGTTCTTTATCTGTGAGATTCTGTTTTTTTTTTGGTTACATTTTGTCTTAGTATTTCAAATTTACATTTGCTAACATTACGCTTTTTCGGTTGTTGGTGTTGCTTATTATTTTTTTGATCCTTGCATGCTTTACTTGATCATTTGATCTCTCTCTCTCTCTCTATCTCTCTCTCTCTTTCAAAATAAATGTGGAGGAAACTACTTTACATGAGTTTCTGATATTTCCTTTCTTTCCTGTTTCTTTTTCTTTGTTATGCTTTGCTCCAGTTTTGTATTCTAAGTCTAACCTGCTTGATTGTTTAATTTCTTGCTTGGTCAATTATTACGAATTTTATTCATTCTCTCCTATTTTGCTTAGAAATTGTTGTTTCTGCCACCATTTTTGTTCCCTTTTTTTTTTTTTTTTTAAGATTGTTCAAATTTTTTTTATAAAAGTTCTGATGGAATTGGATTTCAGGATATCGGTGGAAATGATGTACCTCTGAGCAATTACAATGGAAAGGTGGTTATGATTGTGAATGTTGCTTCGAAATGGTAAATAAATTGGTCTTTTTCTGCTTGATATATTTTCTTATTTGATTTCAGATATTTTATATTGATTTTAGACTTTCTTCTTTATGTTGTTTTTATTCGATAAGTACTAATGTTACATCCCTTTCTAAACATCTTATGCTTTTGGAGTAGATAATTATTCGACATGGTATCAAGTCTAAAGGTCCCAAGTTTGAATCTCACTATGCCTCCTCCCTACAAAAAAAGAAAAGAAAAATAATCACGTGGATGGACCACTCAAGAGGGGCCACATGTGAGGGGGAGTATTGTTGAAGTTGTTAGTGTTGATCGAGTCTTTAGAATTTGTTTCTGTTAGTTGTTTTGAATAATTCCTATTCTTTAGGGATAAGTTATTTGTTTTGATTTCTACCACGTTAATAGGCTTGAAAAGTGTGGGCAGCAGATTTTTCTCTTTTTTGTTATTGTAAGGCTATATATATAGCCAGCCAAGTTGGGTAGTGAAATAAGAAAGCATTCTACAATTTTCTTTGTGTTTACCAAGCAAACAGAGTTCTTAACAAGTATTAGATAAATATTTATGTTACATCCCTCTCTAACAATTTAAACTTTTGAAGTAAATGGTTATTAAACATTTTTGACTTCTCTCTCTCTCTCTCTCTCTCTCTCTCAGACACACACACACAATAAAATTGCCAACAAAATAACCAAAAAGAAGCAGATGTGATATCCCAAACTGTATCTTATCCTAACTTGTTGCCGAACTCAAAATTTTATTCTCTTTTATAAAATCAGTAATCAAGTAAACAACAGATCAATTCATTTGCTGTTCCACTTAATTGATTGATTTTTTGAAGGCCAATCAAGAATTTTTTTTGTGGGAACTTTCTTTGTTGTTTTTTAAGTACCAAGGTACTTTAAATCAAATACATATATTATATTGAAGATCTATAATTATACATATCAAAGATTCTTTTTTTTTTGTTTACAAGTAAATATTTGTGTCATGCTCCAAATCTACATATAGACGTGATCTAACTAATAACATTTCAAATCATGAGAGCAAAAGTCAAAATTGTTGGATGTTGATGAACCTAAAAGTTATTCACCTCATCCTATATCAGTTGTTACTAATTATCAAGTTTCAAAGGGTTTATCTACAGATTGAGTTGCTTTGCTACTTTGTCTCTACCACCTCATCCTATATCATCCTATATCAATTGTTACTTTGTCTCTACTGGTTAACATGCTTCCACCTAGATCAGTTTGCACAAGACTGTGAAGAATGTAATGCGTCAAGAGATTGTTTTCTACTCTGGGGACCTGCAGTATTATTTCCTTTGAATACAAGCTTCTTTAGATCTCTTGGAGTCTTACTTCCCTTACAACTCTCTGGAGAAGTCTTGGAGTCTTACTTCCCTTACAACTCTCAGGAGAAGTAACATTTGATATCTTAGGGTACTTATGTTGTTGCAAATCTTCGAAGAAGTGTTTTTTTTTCCTTCAGGTGGAGAGAATTGATAGGGATCATAAAGAAAATAGAAGATTAGAATTTTATTGAGTTTTATTCTTTATCTGTTGATTAATTGATTAGGTAATATTTTTGCAATTAGGATTGTTTGGAAGAGTATGTTTAGTATTGGTAGAACACTTGGGGTATAATTAAGGATGTAATCCCACTACATAATGAGATTATAAATATGAATTGATTATTCTCTGCAGAAATTTGTGTTTCTTAACCTAATCCTGGGAAGGATTCAATAATTTCCTCCTTTTATTCTTTCCTCTTCTCTTCCATTTTGTATCAATATGTTTTTTGATACGAACTTGTGAACTACCACTATGACTAAATTTCACCAACATGTTTGAGTGTTTCTAGCTACGGTTTGACATTTCCATACCTTTTCTCTCTTTTTGTAGTGGCTTAACACAATCGAACTACAAAGAATTGAACATTTTGTATGAGAAATACAAAGACCAAGGTCTGCTGTGTATTTCTTTCTGGAGAATTCTATAATTTTACTGTTTGGTGTTTTCCTTTTATTTAAAAGAGCTTAAGGGTCTCTTTTATGTCCCTTTTTTGTTCCGACAGGTTTTGAAATTTTAGCATTTCCTTGCAACCAGTTCGCTTGGCAAGAACCAGGAAGTAATGAGCAGATTCAGGAAACTGTATGCACCATGTTCAAAGCTGAGTTCCCAATATTTGCTAAGGTAATCGGGTGAATGTTATTTATACAAAATTAATTCTGTTAGACATTTCTGTGTAAGAGCAGTTAAATTGTTTGTGGGTCAAGAAACAGCATAAATAGCAAGTATTGCATGCACTTTTGGGGGGCCATAGGAAATGAACTAGGTGTACTATCCTCACTCCTTAAAAGATGGAATTGAATCCTAGTTGCAGGTATTCAACCTGATATCTCAAAGATAAGGAAGGAACCACTAAACATAAAAAGGCTTGTAGTAATGCCATTTTTGATTCAACATGTGCTAAATTATTGGAAGTTTCTCTTCTGAAAAATAGAATCTTGGCGGTGTAACTAGCTGTTGTCTATATTACGAGATATTAAGAGCAAACTTAGATCTTAAACCAGGAATTTTTGAAATAATTCTTTTGTTAAATAAAAAAGACATCTTAGAAACAAGTGTATCCATCTTAAATAATATCAGTAATTATTACCACCGAATGTTTGTGTGTGAATTGGATGCGTCTTGGGGCAAATATATTTTGAAACCGATATCAAGACATTTTGATTCATTTCCGGCTGTCACAAAGTTTCTTTGAACAAAAATGTCAATCTGACTGTGTTTCTTTTTCTGTAAATAAATAATTCTATTTCAAAATATGGATAATTCAGAATGTGCCCAAAGCTCCCCAAGGAAAAACCTACCTCCTCTAGAAGAAGAATACCCTGACTACGCAGAAAGGTGGCTCTCAACAGCTACATTTCTGTCAATACCAAAACACAGCCTTTATCTTCTTTGCTCTCATATTGCCATGATGGACATAATGTTGCATTGTGAATCAATAATGGGTATGTACACAGAATTAGGGAAGGACATGAGCAATTGATCCCTCTCTATTCTTTATAGTGATTGTCTTGTAGGGGGCTTACTATCTCATGTTTCTACCTTTCATAGATGCTTGGCTTTAAGAGAAAGAAAAAAGATGATTGATATTCCCCTTCTTTCCAAAAATACTTTTGGATTGAATGTGGTTTCAGTGCCTAATTGCTTGTTTGTGGCACTTAATCCTCATTTTAGTTGAAGCAATGAGCCAATATTATGTGTTCAATTTCTCTGATCAAAATTCTTCATGATGTTATAGATTGAGGTGAATGGCAAGAATGCAACACCCCTCTACAAGTTCTTAAAATCAGAGAAAGGTGGGATATTGGGAGATGGCATCAAATGGAACTTCACAAAGTTCTTAGTTAACAAAGAAGGGAAGATTGTGGAGAGATATTCTCCTAGGACATCACCTCTTCAAATTGAGGTTTGTCCTTTACGTTCCGTTTGGTGATGTTGGAGAGTTAGTGTATGCAGTACAGCTAATTCTTCTCTCTTTTTTTTTTTTTTTCTTTCATCTCTTGCAGAAAGACATACAAAATCTGTTGGGAGCTTCTTGAATATCCAGGTCTGTTACTCCTACTCCTCCTCCTCGTTCAAGACAATATAAAACCGCAAGTTGCCATAAAGAAAAGGGAAAACTATTGACTATCCCCCGTGGTTTAGTCTTGTAACAAATTACCTCCCTAAACTTTAACAACCAACACGTAAACCCCTATGGTGTTGGATCAAACTAAAACCATTACATTTTCTATCCAAATTGATGGTATATTGTCAAAATCACTCAATTACCTTACATCAAAACACCTCCTCTTTGTTTAATTGGAAGTTAACCCATATTCTTTAATTGAACAAAGTTATACCTATAACCAAAGAACTTCGATGTCCTTTTGGTTGAGACAACAAATCTAAGGTGAAAGGTGCTATACGAACTTGCTGTGAAATTTGGATTTCATACTCAACCAAGCTCCAGGTGTACAAAGTTAATAGCAGATGAAAATTTTTGTTTTTCATCTTTGTGAGCAATTAGGAATGAAGGTGAGAATTCCCAAATTGCATGGACCGCATGGTGATCACTGTGGCTCACAGAGTCCAATTGTGAAGCATGATGATATGATCATGTACCTGTCTTTGGGTATGTTTCTATGATTTACATCTTCCTGCTAGTTGCATATAGTCACAAAAAATATATTAGCAGAACATAAATATTCTCTCTTTGACAAATTTAGGTAATTTCTACCAATTTAATTTGCTATAGACACATTAGATACACAATATGCATTCTTCAAGTGGTGGCAGTGGCAGTGGATAGTGTTGGCGTTGGTTACAGTGATGATGAAGGTGGTCAATCCTGTCATAGCTCAAATGGCTTGGTGATATTTGCATAATCAGCAAAGACATCGCTGGCTCTTATTTTGTCTCTCATGTTTTACAAAAATGACAAAATACCAATGAACTTATGTTCTTTCATACTGTTCTTTTTTTATTTTTTATTTTTTGTTTTATTTGCAGAAGAACATGTAGGAAGTAAGCTAAAACCACAAGATTAATGTTTATAAACTGCTTGTCACGGATACAAGCGTGAGATTAATGTGCATGTTTCAAGACAAGAATGTTAGTTGATGATGAATTAGTTAGTGTTTCGGACAGCTAATGCACACTTGATGGATAAACCTGCATAATAAAATGCTTTTATTTGGATGCAGTTACCTCCAATAGCACATGTCCAAGCTGGGTTCAACTACAATTGCGAAAGAGGTATAGTGCCAATGGTTATAGCTAAATAAGTGTTATTTACAACTAATTTGGGTCATGTTATTGCTCAACGGGTTCAAGTTACAACAAAAAAGTTAGAATGACCGATCTTAAATATGGTAACATCCTATATGTAAGGATTGACACTAAAATGTTAGGATTGCTCCCAAACAATTCCATTTTGTATTAACTTCACCTGCTTGACTTTGTATCTTCAACTTTATTTTTTTTAGAAAAGCCAGTACCTACCGAAAAATTAGTTGGGGGGTATCTTAGTCGTATCCATCCAAGCTTATAAAATGGGAAAACCATTGAAGTAGCAAAAGAACAATTAGATAGGAAAGTTAGGTTAAATGTTGTGAGAGATCTCTGCTGAGTAAAAAGAATTAAACTAAAAAGTTATGTTGTGAAAATAATGACAAAATTGTCATCAATATTAATCTGAATAATATTCAAACAAAAATGTGGTAATACCCCCTGAATATTTCCTGAATTTCTTCAGCAAGAAATGACTTTCCCATAAGAAGAAAAGAGAAAGCCTTAGAAGCTACTGATAAATTCGGGACCTCATCTTTTAATTGTACCTTTTTGTCTGATTTCTTCACTGACCTTGCAGGACATGCTAAAAGAGTCTGGGTCTTTCAAATTCGAGAGGGTCAAGGTTTGCTGCATATAATTTTGGTTTATGTTTTGAGCTTAACTGTACTGCTGTGCTCCATAGGCATAGTCTTATACAGGTCTTTCTTTGTGGTTTCTTGTTTACCAGTCTGTGGTTGAAGTATTGGACAAATAAGCAATTCATACCATCTCTCTCTCTCTCTCTCTCTCTATCTCTCTCTCTAGTTGATGTAAAATACAGTAGCGGGAATATATTGAAAATTTCTATATCAATATTTTTTTGCGAGTGTGGAAAGGAAGATACAAAAAATATCCCCTCATCCGGTTTAGATCAAACACAATGATTCTAGGGTCTTTTGATATTGTTTCATGGGCTCTTTCAATGGAGAACAGGGTAAGAGTCATGATCTGAATAATGGGAAAGCTGAATGGTAATTGATCTGATAATAAAGGTTCGATTTCTGCTCGTGATCTTTTTCTTCATCATGAGCACACGACTTTGATACAAATCACACCCGGATTTCCGCCATTCCAAAGCCTTTTTCCCAAGATTCCATTCACAACAATGGAGAGATTTTCTAGTCACAGCAAGCCAGCCACAATCTTTGTTTTTTAGAATGACTCAGACACAGTTAGGTCATTCACTTTTCGAACTCAAATAATCCCCAACTTATTCTGGTCGTGCCCACATGGGCGAAATTCAAACCCGGATACCAACAATGTTTAATAAATTCTAGCATTGCACTTACCATGACAAGCAGTTGAATTTCACTGAACAAAACACTTACCAAGGTGTTGTGTGGTAGCAGTACCTGATATCCTGCCACTGTCTCAAAACTCACCCTTCAATTTTCTTTTTTTAAACCCAATTTAATTTATAGGGTTTCTCATTTTTTTTGAGATGGGTGGATGGAACTGTTGAAGAATCAAGGAAATCAAAGGGGCCTTTCACCCATGGATCAGGAAATATTGATAAGCTACTTCATGAATTATTTTATGGCCACATTACACAGGTGAATAAAGTATGTATTTGATTTTTGAACACAAAAAATTATACCCTAAGGCTCTGGTAAAATCTAGGGAAAGAAAATGTAAAGTAAAACCCCTTCAATTTTTTAAAAAATAAATAGATTCCTTTTGAAGTAACATTTGACAATTTCCCTTCTCTTCCCCTTATTTTCCCCTAGATTTTAAATCGAGCTAAAATGAGTCGTACACAGTTGCAATGTTTCTGAGTGTTTTGGAATGCAAGCTTTTACCTTTTTTGCAACAAAATAATAAAGGAAAAAATCACCGGCAACTATATAACAAGGTGAATAAAAAACCATAGGAAAATTCCTAAAAAATGTAAACAAAATGTCTTCCTAACATATCTTTTCTTATTTTTTTTTTTAAAAAGAGTTTGTAAATGATATCGACATTTAAAGGAGGCAAAAAATACGGTCTTTTTTGTTTTCCTACTGATAATATTGTTTTCATAAAGTAATGATGCAGAAACAAGTTCATGAATACCATCAATATCTACTGGAGAAGCAGCAACTATAGTCAAAAAATAAAAATAAAAACCAACATGCAGTTCTTGGGAAATACTATTATTCATATAGTTGCCAATAAACCTACAAATTCCAAGAAANAAATAAAAACCAACATGCAGTTCTTGGGAAATACTATTATTCATATAGTTGCCAATAAACCTACAAATTCCAAGAAACATACAAACCCTTAACTCACTGAACCCAATTCTTGCAAGAACATCCAAAAAAATAAGAGCACCAATAAAGTTGATACCAATTTATTGGGCATCAAGTTGTCTAATGCAGCAGTTTCATCATATGATTTCAGGCATCCTGAAACAGTTGCTTATTTCAATCCAAAATACTTAACAGAGAAGCATTTCTAGACAAAGTCCATTTCAAATATAGAGATTAGGGGACCGCAAAATAGATAAGCACCTATTACAGGATTATGTTCAACATGTTGCCAATGAGCTTTTATACAGAGCTGAGAAGAAATATAATTCCTCACAGGGTCAAAAATCCATGTTCATGGCAATGTTGTTAGCAAGGTCAAAGTGGCCTTTACCAAAAAAAGTAAAAGATCAAAAAGAAGAAAGACAAAGCTAAAAAGAAAGATCAAAGTGTCTTAACGTCCCAATCACATTGAGCTCCTGAAATGCTCTTGCAAATATTGAAGCATGACAACTCAACAACTTCAATGTTTCTACCTTGGATCTATTTGTCTTATTGACTTGGATGTTGATCTTGAGTTTTACCCCCACCAAAAAGCCTTATTTCATTCAGTAAAATGTTTAGCTGTTGACAATAGCTGGAACATGTTAACAAGCACCGTACAACAAGAGGAGTGAATTAAGTAGTCAAGTACCATATTCTTTGGAAACATTCATTATAAATAGTTGGATCGAAGCGTTTACCGTTGCACCAAAATTTTAAGCTGCTAGTAAAGGCGCAACTTCTTTCTTTTATATAGCTCAGCAACAAGTGCTGACAGGTCGGGCTGGTTAAACTCTCCACAGGGAAACTTGTTGCACCTCCTCTAGGCCAATGATCTTTCCCCCCAGCAGCTATCTTGGAACTTGAACTGGTGACCTTGCTCTGCTACCAATTGTTGGATTGAAGTGCTTAGTGTTACACCAAAAGCTTAAATTGTTAGTAAATGCACAACTTCATTTAACTAGCTCAGCAACAAGTGCCCACGGGTCGGCCCAGTTAAACACTCCATCAAGACATAGAGAGACTTGTTGCACCTCCTCAAGACCAACATAAATGATCACGCCAACAAATATGACGAGAAAGAAAGCATGATTATCCATTACCAGTTGAGTTACATCTCCTGCAACCCCTATGCAGGATTACGTTCCTAATTGGAACATGGGTGCTTAAGTATTATTATCAACCAAAAAGAAAAAGGAAATGGCTCACACATTTATCAACACATCTACAAAAATTAGACGCTTCAACTGAGGTTCAACTGAGGAAATGGCCAACACATTTCATTGTTTTAAAAAAAAAAAAAACTGAGGATTTCATCAAATACAGACCCATAGATTGTCTAATGCCACCCCATTCCATCCAAATACCTAAACATT